CTGTAAACAGAAAAAAGAAACATTTACCACCAACATGGAGAAGAGAATACACCACTTCTTGAAGTTCACCAGCTGTAAATTCCAGTGGAAAGTTCTGGTTGTTCTCCCACTTTATTCTTGATCCAGAACCTGGGTTTTTGCATTCACATCAGTTTTACAGATCTAGCTTGTTTGTGTGCAAATTGTTGGTTCCTTCCCTCTCTGGCAGATGCACATGCTCTTCGGGGACAAAAATGTCAATTATATCTAGACTGGCCAGACCCCTGCATAGAAACCTATTTCTAGGATAAGGGTAGAGATATGTAGACAGGTCTTGACCATATGTAGAGAGGTCTTGACCATATGTAGAGAGGTCTTGACCATATGTAGAGAGGTCTTGACCATATGTAGAGAGGTCTTGACCATATGTAGAGAGGTCCTGACCATATGTAGACAGGTCTTGACCATATGTAGGCAGGTCTTGACCATAGTTAGACAGGTCTTGGACAGGTCTTGCTCATATGTAGACAGGTCTTGACCATATGTAGACAAGTTTGAACATATGTAGACAGGTCTTGACCATATGTAGACAGGTCCTGACCATATGTAGACAAGACCATACGTAGACAGGTCTTGACCATATGTAGACAAGACCATATGTAGACAGGTCTTGCCCATATGTAGACAGGTCTTGTCCATATGTAGACAGATCTTGCCCATATGTAGACAGGTTTTGACCATATGTAGACAGGTCTTGACCATACGTAGACAAGTCTTGACCATATGTAGACAGGTCTTGGACATATGTAGACAGGTCTTGACCATATGTAGACAAGTCTTGACCATATGTAGACAGGTCTTGACAATATGTGGACAAGTCTTGACCATATGTGGACAGGTCTTGCTCATATGTAGACAGGTCTTGCTCATATGTAGACAGGTCCTGACCATATGTAGACAGGTCCTGACCATATGTAGACAGGTCTTGACCATATTAAGACAGGTCTTGACCATATGTAGACAGGTATTGACCATATGTAGACAGGTATTGACCATATGTAGACAGGTTTTGACCATATGTAGACAGGTCTTGACCATATTTAGACAGGTCTTGACCATATGTAGGCAGGTCTTGACCATATGCAGACATGTCCTGACCATATGTAGACAGGTCTTGACCATATGTAGACAGGTCTTGACCATATGTAGACAGGTCTTGACCATATGTAGACAGGTCTTGACAATATATAGACAGGTCCTGACCATATGTAGGCAGGTCGTGACCATATGTAAACACGCTAAGCCTTTTATGGTAATGTTTTCTTAAAGGGTTTTAGGTGACAGACCAACTCAATGCCCAAAACATGAATGATTAATGCTCCGACTGCAATTTATTAATCGATCGGCAAGCAATGAGAGGTAGCTCGCTGTGGTCTGTATCACACTGTCCCTATCAAAAGATGTTGCTGTTGTTTGACTAGTATATAGTCTAATAAGTACACCGCCGGTATTACGGAAATTAAAAGTAGCACCCTGACCTAAAAATTTTGGCTACCACTGGGCTCATGGAAAAGCTAAGCTTGAGACTCAAACTTTCTTCAAGCCTTCACTTTGAAATAGAATGGATGATTCCAGTGACTCCAAGAGCTATGCCCACGGTATTGTAGATCACTGGTAGGGTCTCCTAGACCTGACGCATCATGGGATAAGAACCAGCGGAAACACACGCCTATTGGCTTGAAGGTAGTACTAAATCATCCACTCAAATACATACAACACATACTGTGACTTGAAAGATTAACAGAGGCAACAAAAGACGCGCACAGATACAACGGAACGTTTGGATCAAAATCTTAATCACCGGAGAAGACAACATATAAACAGCCAAGGCCAACATGGAACTAGAAACAGGTACATTAAAATATAAGCATGAAGGGTTATATCACGCTAGTTTTGATGCGTTGTGGGTGGAATAGGGCATAGTCACAGGCTATGGGAAGTAAAGTAAAAGAAATGGAATGCACTGCGCTACATGTCTGGCGAATCAGTGCATCCGACTCGCTTCAACATGATGGGGCGACTAGCGGCATCATATATTATCCTCGTGTCTGGCCTTTCACGGATTTTTTCCTTTCCAAAATTTACCGGGTACAAGGTAATGTCCCAGGATGTAAAGGCGGTCGGCGAAATGTTGATTACAACACCCACTAATTGCCGACTTGTTTATACAATTATAGATTTAGCACTATATGCCCGATGCGCTAAGGGCGTTAAATGAGCCTGCTATTAACTTATCTAGGTGACTGACCAGACTCGACCCAACATACCAGACTTGCTGCTGACAATGCGGACGGAACGCTTATGGGATGTCTTGAGCCCTATGATGTCGGTTCTTAACATAAAAACATACCTTGATTACTGCGGTAGCCAACTGTTGCCGGAGTGATTCGGTTACTGAAGTTCTGCTTGTCAGCCATTCCGCCTGAACACCCGAATACAATGCATGTGAATACTAAGCCCCTTTATGGCTGCCTGCTTGTTTATACTTCTAGACCAAAGTTTGGTCAAGTGTCCCAACTTAGATTGAGTTTCACCAGTGCTTCTTAATCGGTGCAGCGCGGGGCTTCCAATTCCTAATACCTTTGAGAAAAAAATTAAAAGGTCGACCACTTTCAGACTGCTGCTAGCTAGCCGAGGCTGCTAACAGTCTCCGCCTATATGTGTGGTCTGGGTTATTTGCTAATTTCGTGACTAAATTCTAGTGATACATTTGCTCCTTAAATAATTGGACTTCTCTAATTAAAAATCTTTGACAGGTACGCAAAGTGTACCTTATTTAAAAAAAATTATAGTGTTTGCGCCATGTCTGGGCTTGATGCTTCCATCCGGATCAGACCGCTCGTCCTCCACCCTGTTGTTACTTGTGCATGTCTTTCCTCTTCTTACTTGGTGTTTCCTGTTTGTTTTGTCTCCCTTTGATTTGGCCAATCGTATTTCGTAGGAGAGCGAGCATTTCTACATAACGTCCTTTGGACCACCATTTACAGTTTTAACATTTTGAGTATTTTATTTTGCGCAAAAAAAAAAAAAAAATGAAAACCGTGCGGGGCAGCTTAAACGTGGAAGGTAGCAACAGTTAAAGATAGTCTGAACTCGGAGAAGGCTATAGCAGCTGCAAATCAAACAGGTGTTGTCTCCACACTGAAGCTCGTTGCAATAGATCTATAATATTCTCACTCATTGTTGTACACTCTCTCACAGAGCTGATCGTCCATATCTAAATGTTACCCTCCCATGTGTATCGCTGTTTACCGTTTGCCTTCGAAGTTTTGCTAATGTATGTTTTCAAAAGAGTAATGCCTTTTCTTGTGGGCAAAATATTTAATCTGTCCCTTTTTTAAATTCATCCAGTAACTCTCTTTTCATTCGCAGGTCCCCGAGGCCTTTGTATCTGATTGCTATTTGCTGTTTTATCATGAGTTTTAAATTTGTTATTTACTTATATATATATATATATATAAACCCCCCTCCAAACCCCCGACCTTTAATTCAATAAACACTCGCGTGCACGCACGCACATACACACGACACATATGCAGACCTAACACCATGCATACTCAAAGGATACACAACGAATAGACGGTATTTAATTTCTGTATTCACATTGTAAGCCAATCATTACTACGTGCGAAAAAGGCCCATTCCGCTACAAACAGTAAAAAAGAGCATAGAAATAATGACGCAAAACTATTCAGCAGTCTGATAAACCCAATGTATAATTTAGAGACATAAAGATCAAAACAAGATTAATTTTTATTGATCTCAGAAATTCAATTTCACAGTCCGACCGACTAAACGAGTTTCATCGCTGTTACTGCTCAAAAACATGCCCTTTTCGTTATCGTTTGCTATCTAAACAAAATACTACCGCGCGCTATTTTAGGCCACTAAAATTAGGTTAATCTAGTAAAATTCCAGACTGTTACTGATTTTAAAAACATTACTTAAAATTTCACCTTAGACACAACTTTAATCAGACAAAGGATTAGGGCATTAAAAGGGGTGGGGGGGGGGGATACGTTAAGTCAAAGTGGTTGTGAGTACATACAGGAAACCTGTATATGCCATTAGATGGTATACCGGGTATGTGGGACTAGCTGACTATTTAAAAGTGAATTATGACTCACTTTTCAGACTAATCAGGGCTCATCTCCCACTAGTCGGCACCAATGATAAACACCATGCTGCCCTTCTTCACTTTGTAGAACATTTTTAGAAACAAATTTAGGCAAAGATTTTAGGCACATATCTATTTAGAAGAAGAAAAAAAAAATAACGGTAATCGAGGGTAAATGAGATGTGTCAGAAAGGCTGCGGGAATGGCAAAAGAGATACAATCAGGAATGAAGTCATAAGAGTATAAAGTCCGCATGGAACTACTACAAACTTACATTCAAATACTGAAAATAATATGCTTTGTCCGATTAGAGAGAATACCTTGCGACGCTATAACATACTGATAAGGGTGTGGAGCAGGTGGGAGACCAAGAATGAGATATGAAACTAATATAAGGTAGCTGTGCAAAAGAACGACGTGTCTACGTCTGAAGCGGTCGGAATGGCCTAGCTTACTTTGCGAGGAAGAAAAATCGTCACGTTCAACCAGGTCAAAGGAGAGCTTGAGGTTATAATTGTGACTAGGTTACGTGTGCCATATAAAATGGCTTAGCATTAGTCGCCACCAAGTAACTCTGGAAAAAACCTCTTGCAGTAATAATGCGATCACAGGAGACTGACCCAAATACCGTGACCCACCCGACGAGGAAGTCGTCTACCGGCGAGCCAATGCGTGACCCGGCCGCCGATGAGTCGGAATGGCCAGAATCAGAACCTTATAACTCTCTAGTCACTAGAAGCGGTAAAAAGACGAAGAAGAAGAAGAAGAAGAAGAAGAAGAAGAAGAAGAAGAAGAAGAAGAAGAAGAAGAAGAAGAAGAAGAAGATGTTGATAATAATGTCGCC